CGCATGCAAACTCAAGAGGCACAGATATGCAAGTGGATTCAAAATAAATACTGCTCAGTTATTATTCCTGTTATTTAATTATGGGATCATATGTGGCTTTGATAATGCAACTGAACTGATTTTTCTGCCTGCTTGTTATAACAATATTTGAACAAAATTGCATATATGATTAATTTCTTTATTGATTTTGGAATTGCAAACCTCATTGATTGTGAACATTATTTAAGCAAATAAAGAATCACATCCAAATCAGAGGGAATCAAAAACTCTGTTCTGGCCAACCTGTGTAAATGAGATCACTTGCACAAGTGATAACGTAAGTAGGCTTATTGACTTGACAACTATATGAAGAATTTTCTGCAAAATATTTTGCTTCCAGATCAAGTCAAGTTGAAAAGAAACACATTTCTCTTTATTCCATTAATCTTCTACTCTAGTGCCCAACTGATAATATTTTTAGCTTATCTCTCGTTTCTGAAACATCAAGGCCTCTACGCCATGCTGTTATCTTAACTGTCTGGGCAGGGTCTTTCCAAAATGCTTTCCAAAATGTCATGACATAACTTGGTTTATTCTACATACACGACTACTACTGTTTGTCTGAGTTCTTTCAGATATTTGAATTGTTTTAGTGCATTGTGTTGTAGCCATTCTAAGTTACTTATGAAAAGTTAATTCCATAGCACTGTGAATTTATATACCAAAAAGATAAAATAACTGAAGTTCACAATACAGGTGCTTCCCCTAAAATATGGATCATTGATGTTCCAGATACTGAAAAATAAGCAAGAGACTTTTACTGTCCCACAGCAAACAATCTGGTGTTTTGTTTTTTGTTTCGTGTTTGCGGTTAGTTTAGGGCTAGGGTAATAACAACAACAATAAAATCAGTAAGTTAAAATAATTAAAATCAGAATAGGCAAAGAATAGAATTAATAAAGACTAAATACTATATGCATATATAAAATCCAAAACTAAAGCATAAACCATTAACCTTAAAATTACTATATCTCCTTTAAAATCATGTCCCATTGGCAGCAGCATAAAAACATTATTAATACCAAAACATTCACTGTTAAAATAATTGCTAACAAATAGGTTTTTAGTTGGCACCTAAAAGCCAAAAGAGTTGGCGGCAACTGGACCTTGAACAGGATTGAATTCCAACGTTGGGGTGCTATGCAGAAGAAGGCCTTCCTCCTTGCACTCTGCCCCCTTACTTCACTAGGGGGAGCCGTGCAGAGGAGGGCTTCAGATGAAGACCACTGTGAAAGGGCTGGTACATATGGAGAAAGGCAGGCACTCCCGCAGATAACCTGCCCCAAATCCTTTAGGGCTTTGTGTGTCATCATGGGCACTTTGAATTGGGTCCAGGTGGCAATCGGCAGCCTGTGTAACCTGCATAGGCCCACAGGTTACATACAAGGTTGCCTTATACAGAATCAGACCATCTGTCCATTTAGATCAATTTCATCTATAGTGACTGGAAGCAAATGTTGAAGAATTTCAGCCAGGTGGTTTTCCTGACTCTGAATGTGGGTCTTTCTGTGCTAAGTCACTGACCTATAGTTTATCTCTGATATTTTTGTGATGATATTCTGTGCTTGAAACATTTCCTTTTATTTGTGGTTTACATACCGTAAATCAACATTGGCTTACAACAGAAAACGCAGTACTGGCCTTGTTGCCCACCTTTGCAACAATTCGACTTATAGTAAAAGCATAACTGTGAACTGATCTTAAAACAGCCATCTTAAAATATATTTTATGCGTGAAACTTTCACAAATAAATAGCATTCACAAATTATATGTAACAGTAGGAATAAAGCCAATTTTTATGGGTAAATATTGACTAGAGTTTTAGAATATTAAGGTGGTATTCAGAGAGAATCTGCCTTAATGCATCTCCCATCTTTGCTTTGGCTATCAAAACACCCATAAGAAGATACGGTATGATGGGCAAAGACCAGCTTGTGCTGCACTACAATTGTCTTCAACTGCCAGACACATTCTAGTGTCTATCTGTTGGGGAACTCAGTGGAGACCCACCATAAGAATTCTGCAAATGCCGATTCTCCAAAATAATCCTGCATCGACACTTGATTTTTGGTAAGGAAAACAGCCAGTAGATGAAAAGGAACCTCTTGCAGCTTAATGTTCCGGAAAATCCTTTGAACAAATATGGACTAAGATGTTCTTGATACAGAAAAAACATGTTTGCATTTGCATTTAAGATAACTTTGTACAACTAGGAAAAATGGCACTAGAACCATTTAAAGCACCTCAGTGAAATGAACACGACTAAATATTTCAGTATTCCACTTCATTCACTCCTGGTAGCTGGCCATCTACCTTTTCTACTTTTATTTTCTCACACATTAAGGATGCAGCCCTGTGTAAGTTCAGAGAGAGAGAGAAAGCCTACAACTCCTAGTATGCTCCAGTCTTTGTCCTGTCTAAACTTGTCCCTTAAGATCAAGCGATTAAAGACACTGATTTCAGGGGCCCGAAGCTTTCTGCAGGAATTATACATGTAAAAAAGTCAAAGAAATGTCATCTCTGAAACCCATTAGAAAAGTCACCGGATAGCCCAAATCCACCTTTGAAACACTTTAGACAGTTCATTTTCACTACATAAAGACATCTTTTTCTAGTAGGAAAAGGAGTGTGAAACACACCCACAGATAAGAGTATGTGTAAATAATGTGCAAGTGCCTGGTCTATCATCATTCCTACCTTAGGAACTCATGGAATATATGAAAAAATATTAGATGCCTGAATCTGTAACAAACAGTTTAAAATTTGCAAGCTTCCCTTCACACGTTTGCTGGTGCACAGGAAATAAAAGAAACCACAAGAAATGTCTTTGTGAAGATCGTCTGGGGCACTTAAGCTACACTTGTAGATGAAAGGAGATGCTAAGTAAAAAACAAATCATACATCAGTCTTGAAGGAATACACTGATTATGCACTGATGTCAAATCCTTTTTTTTAACCTGCTGAAAGGTTCAAAAGTTTTCCTTAAGCCATAAAATGCAGCACAAAATTCATCCACTAGATGGCTCATCACAGATGTTCTGTGACCATTTTTTCCTTTTAGTATTCAGTCAGCGGTGAGACTGTATTCTGCTTCCTACACAAATAAGAACAGTGCCTCTACCATACGAAAAATGGGTTGAAAGCTCTTATCAGTATGGGAGGACATTTGCTTGTAACAACACTGTAGTAAACAATACCAATTTCTATCTATTTCTCCTCTCAGAAAATGTGTTTTATTTTCCCAATATGATCACACCATGTCTTTTAAACTCATGAGAATTAGCCTCAAAATTATCACTATATTATTACACAACAACGATGTTCACCAAGGATGAGTAACTGACTGGGGCAAACACAAAATATTCTTCAGGCAGCAGTCCTACGAGGCATGCCAATAGGAGTTTTACAAGAGGATTGTAAGGTTTGATATAGGAAGTTTGAGCAGAAATAATCGCCACAATGTCACATTTAAAAGGGACTTAAGGCTGCCTGCAAACCCTTTCCCATCTGCTTATGCGACTCAGACCAGAACCTTAAAATAAGCAAGAGACCATCAGCTGCATTTCTAAGGAATAATCTTATGGGTGGTGTTGGCTTTTAAAACCTACACAGCGGGACTAGAGGTAAGGAAACAGAAGACTGATATTAAGTACCGCACCCACTACTAGATTAAAGGGCACCAGGGATCTGGCGCAAGTGGAAATGAATGCCTTCAAGCATTCACTTGCCTTCGCTGGAAGCAATTGCAATGGCTCACTACCTTTACCAGATAAAAAGCACACTTCCCTCTGCATTAACCCAGCCCGGAAGGTGTGCATCAGTGAAACTCAAGAATGGCCAAAAGGTATTACAGGAGTCTGGTTCAGGTTACAGGTTTTTCATTCATCAAATGCAGTGAATGGAAGCTCCAGATACTGCAACCCTCGTTCAGAATTGAGCCTTTAAGAAGTGATAGCTTCTCAGAGGCTGTCTTACTCTCAGCTGAGACCAAAATCAGACAGACAGGAATGAATAAAACAGCCAGCCCTTCAAGAACTGAAAGCCACTTCCCCCTACCCAGATGATGTTAGCTTGTTAACACTGACTAGAGATGGCTTTGTTGCTGCTTTTGCTTGTTTTAAATAGCAAAACTGGGGGTTGCCATAATTCTATTGATCAGCTGAAGCTGAGTATCACAGCATTCTGTTGGTGGTATATTTTCGCTACAAGCCACAGACCCCCTTCCCGCAAGATGCATGCACGCACGCACGCACACATGCACAACACCACGGCTTAGGCAAAAAGAAAACCCCTTCCTCTTAACCGTGCCTTGTCGTGCAGCTGCTGGGGTCCCTTTTCATATGCAGTGTGCGCAAGTAATTGCCTGCATTTGGAACTCCCCCCCCCTTCTTCTCCTCTGTCAGGCTGGGTGACGTTTTGATTATATTACTTCAACGTTCATGGGGGGGGGCAGCTCTTTGCACACACCCCTCTGAGCCAAGTCAGTCAAGCCAGATCAAGAGCGCAGAGACACTCAGGAGCTCGAAGTATTTCTACGTGTGCTAGCTGTGAAAGAATATGCTATTTGCAGCTGACCTTTTAAAACAATACATGCTGAAATTACACACATTTGAGAGGCAAGTCCGCAGGGGAAGGAAGGAAGGAAGGAAGGGGGAGCGAGAGAGAGCAAAGCCGTAGCTTTTTAGTGTCTCAACGATATACGGAAAATCCCCAGTCCCTCTTGCCGAACGAGCATCTGAATGCCTTCAAAAAGGTGCACGCTGTGAACGCCGGTTTCCCACAAAGAAACAGCTCTGGCTCCACACACACACAGAGTACACGGAGGATGCATTCCTATTTCCCCAACATCACCCTTCTCCCCTATGCCGCCCGGCACTGCTTCGCAGACGGGTAAAATGCGACAGGCGGGGGGGGGGGGAGAGATGCTTCGGGTTCGCGCAGCAGCCCCGCTCTCCTCTTACCTTCCCTGGCTTTGAGCAAGACCGTGTTGGCCACGATGTTTTCCAGCTCCATTGACAAGCTCCGTCAGGACGCTGCAACGAGGATGTCAATTTCAGGAGGCTCTCCCGGCTCTCTCGCTCCGCGTGCGACTAGGCGGCAGCAGCCCCTCGTCCCTGGCACATTATCTCGCTTCCTTTCGCTGGATTCCGCCGTCGAGTTCCCTCCTCTAGAAAGAGCCACTGCTTGCTCGCTTGCTTTCCCTCCTCCAAACCTTACGTATCTCGTTTACTCCATTCTCCGCGCCTACAGAGGAAGGGGGAAGGAAAGCCACCCTCTCTTCCCTCCTCTGATGGTTTAAGGTTTCAGATGCTTCTGCCTCCTTCCCTCCCTGGGGGTGTGGTACTACGGGGCTGGTTCCGCAGCATTGCGCAGGCGCCATGCTCAACAGCTGCCTCGTTCCTTAGCGCTTGTAGACTGAGCTTGTCGGGAAATGTAGTCTTTCATGTACGGGGGGGGAATTGGCGCCGGGCTCTGCGTTTCCCGCAGGCGCGCGCGCGCGCGCGCGCGCTCACAGTTTTTGCAGCTGCCTTGTGCCGTTTGGAAAAGAAACGCGAACCAGCGCAAGGGAGCGAACAATTGCATGGTGTATTAATGAATTTAACACACATACACATTTAACACATTTTGTTTATTTAGAAAAATCCGCATTGATTTCAGGAGGCAAAATCTTTAAATATCGATTGCAGGACAGGTTTGTTGGTGGGCTACCTTGCTTTCATTAAGAAAGTCTCTGATGCAAGTCTTTGTTACAGTATCTCCGATTCTGGAACCTTATGCCTCGAATTTATTTCATAGACACAGTGTTTATCGAAATGCATTAAATGAAATATCACACCGGCATCCTAGCTTCCAAGCACTACCAGGTAAGCGTTGCTTGTGTAACTTTTATCCTCACTGCCTCTTACTGAGAAAACAACCTGTTCATTTTCTGCCTGACACACAGCTCTTAAGTAAAAGAAAACCTGACAAAGCAGTGAGGAGTGACACCCCTTCCTCAAAGTATCTTATTTGGTTGGTTAAAAAACTTCTTTTCTTGCTTGAAAACAGTATCTAATACTTTGAGGATGGGTATTAGATACTGAGCTTAGACTCAAAATTCTGTGTATGTTTATCTGGGAGAAAGTATTTCTGAATCCAGTGGGACTGATTTCAAAATAAACATGCATGGGATTGAATTGCTAGAAACCTGAGCACTAATGCTTGGAAATAGTTTCTTTACTAGTAGCATTTGGAAAAAAGACATCAATATCATAGTACCAAGATAATAATTGGATTCAGACTGCATGATAACCCCTTGAGTGTGGCTTGACATTGAATTGTGGTTAACAAACAGAGATAACAAACCAAGATGAACAACCCAGTGCAAACCAAAGGCTCTCTTCATGGCTTGTTAGGATTCAAACAACACAGTTCAAGGGCATCCCACACCCAACCCTTGAGTGTGGGTAGCTGCATTGTCTGAAGCCAGTCAATGCGCTATGCAACCAGACCTATTGGAGCTGCTCATTTCACTGCAAGGTGAACATCCTATTTGCAATCCTTTGATTGTGCTGCATGCAGGAAACGGTACGTTTCATTCAACAGCTACTCTAGGCAGTGGTGTAGTGGTTCACTGTTGAAATACAGGCTCTCATTGTGATAGCCCCCATTGCTTCACAGAAAGTTCAAAGTTGCAAGCAACTGTGCTGATCGCCATCAAAAGACCAGTTCTCAGCAGTTTTCTCCATCAGGAGCAGGTTTCTGTAAAGCTAATAAGACTTGATTGCCATCCAGGACTAAGCCACCCTAAAATACTTAACATTGCAGAAGGGATAGCTCTGAACAAAAGGGGGTTGCAGCTTAACTCAAAGGGAACGGAGAATTCTGAGGGAGGTGGCAGCTGATCGTCCCTGCTAGCTAAAAAGTCCTTGTGAGCCCCAGCTCTACTACCACACTGATCGTGCAATATAATCTTCATTTTATAGCATGGATTATATGCTCTACATGTAATTGTTACAACTGGATTTTTTTATGTAGGCTAATTCCTATCGAGAGGTTACATGCTAAGGTTTTGATTGGTACTAAAACATATTTGAATTTGTTTTTTCTATGTTTGTATTCTTGCTAAAAATGAGAAATGGGCTGGGAAGACATTCAAAGTATGTGACGACAGTTCTAAACAGACTTTACTATGGAAAAAGCTTCACTGAACATACAAGACGTATTTCTAAGTAAACATGTGTATGATTGTGCTGTGTGATAACACTTATAACAGGCTTAAACTCTGAGTCAATTATCAATCTTTTGCCGAGTATTGGAAGTAATCTGGAAAAGGATTAATTACTGAAGATTGTAGTAGAGAGACTTCTCAGCTAAATAAGCTCTAACTAACTTTTCCTTCTCAACAAATTTCCCTAAAATCTACTCATGAAATTCATCACAACAGAAATAAATGCTGTTCGGAAGATAAGAACTTCTGTCTTTTCCCCTGCCTCCAGCTCATTGTGTGGCTTCTGGCTTTTTGAATTATTCAGAAGTTTGGGGGACTACTTTCTTTCTTTCTGGTCAGACATAAAATAGCAGTCTTCTATCAAATACACTAACCACTGCAAAAGATAAACTTAGGAGCAAACTAAGTTTTACATTTTAAAGCTCAGCACTCCTCCTCACTCTCAGAATGTCCCCATTCTCCTTCTCCAAAGTTGCTCTTATGGGCTCAAAGAAATAGCTGGCAAGGTTCTTTCTGCAGGGGCTGAATGGAGGGGGGAGCACAGATCTGTTCCTCTGAAGTCAGAGATCATGTCAGACCTCTGGATGAGAATCTGAAGCATCTTACAGTAGCCTAAACACACTGATAGTGAGTTTAGACATGTACAGAAAATTTAAAATACATTGAATACTTTCCGCAACATTTTTGATTCCCCCAGAAATCCTCCCAAGGGCCAGGGTTCAAAATCCATGACTTCAACATTTCTGAAAATTTTTCTTCTCTGTGTAGTATTAGCACTAGTATAGAGATCCCCCAGTGAATTAGGCCAAATCACACAGAAGGCAGCTTTTTACAGCTTTTGCTCAAGTCACATGGAAGCAATTTTCAGTGGCCTTCATCTGGATAGAAGCCGTACAATTTCAATCAACTCTTCGTTGGCTCCATTCTGCATAAAGTTGAATTTGTTTATAGTCAGTGTCCTAAGACATGAGAACCATTATGAGAATTCATGAGAAACATGATTCAGATGCTTACAGTTTGGAGACAGAACTTCTGTCTCAGCTCAGGAATGATTAATAACATCACTTCAGCAACAGCTGTTTCTAGATGTCCAGATAGTTGACCACAGCGATCAATGTCCATGGTAGACGTTGTGTTGTACCATGCTGCCATCTAGTGGCTCTTTTTATAGAGGTGAAGAGGCTGTGGCCCACTTTTTGGCAAGAGTGCCTGTCCAGAGTTAAAAATATTAGGAGTGCCATTCCTATGGTGTTTCCTCTTGTTCAATGGGCCAGGCAACAAATGCTAGCTCAGTGTAGACAGGGGAGTCTGCGTACAGGCCTTATGGCATATCTGGACCTGCCTGGCTCCTATGGAAATGTGCCACAAAGCCTGACGAGATGTCTCACAGCGTGGCTACTTGGACCTCAGCCTGTCAGGATCAAAAGATCTGGTAGGAATCTGGCTATCCTGCACTTGCTGGACTTCTTTTCCACACTCAGCCCTGGCCAGGCAGTGAGCTGAGCAAGTCTGCAAGCACTCGGGAATGCTAGCCGACCCCTTCTTGCACAAAGCATGCAAAATTTGCAGTTCTTTGTGCAAATTAAACAAAGTACACAAAGCCCACTGGTCATGTGTGAGGAAGCAGAAGTCCATTGACACAGCAGGCTGAAAGGCAGAGCCAAGGAAATCTGACAGATTCCTATCCCCAAACCAAATTCCAGCACATTGCAACTCAGCCCCAAAGACTTTTGTGTCTTTTGCAAGCTTTATCCTACTCCATGCCACGAGAGATCCTTCAGGGCATCAAAATGTCAGCAATAACATGCATCATTACATACAGCTAAAAGTATTATAAAAAGCTAAAACTGTTTTATTTTGAATCATTTAATACAGGGAAAACAACTTAAGGTCCCTCCAGATTATGTTGGAGTGAATTCCCATCATGCTTCTCCACTGCCTATGGTGGCTGGAGCTGATGGGAGTTGTAGTCCAAAATATCTGGAATGCCACAAGCTTAATACATTTATAGGCCACCTTCCTCCAAGGCCAAACCCCTCATTAAGCAGCATACATGAAGCACTGTAAGATTCATAGGTACATTACATTTAATTCATCAATACGACATCTTTCATAGGCCTCAACCCTCATAAAGCAGCATAACAGAGGTAGATACATTCCAACTATTACCTATTCTCACCTTCTGGCCCCTCCAGCCACTGAACAGCTGAACCATTTGAGCTTTTCAGAGCAGCTTCTTTGCCTGTATGTAAGGAAGGAAAACGCAGCCGGAAGCCCTGGAGGGCCACTGGTAGCCAGCATCAACCATACTGGGCTAGACAGCCCAGGCGTCTGACTCATTGTGAGGCAATTGGCTATGTTCTTAAGCATCTTTGAAGGCAGCCCACATAAAGTACATTAGAAAACACCAGTCTGAAGTGCATGGGAAATGATTGCTCCAGGTGGGGACCCAGCTAGGAGGGGCTACATAAGAACTTCCAGAAAGTGCTCAGTTGCAATGCTGTTGTTTTCTAAGGCAAATCAAACATCTGTGCATCCAACACATACTTATTGGAAGTATCATCTGGCTCACCACTCATGAGTTGGGGATCCTACGGGCAGTTTCCCATTTATCCCCCTGTGCAATTCCTTCAAAACAATAGGGAGATGTTTATGGGTGGTATCTAATATATTCACGGAAAGGGGATTAATTACCTCTTGCTGTTCTCTACTGCAGTTTCCTAAAAATCTCTCCTATGGGTCAAGAGACCTTGAGGAATTGCTCCCCACATACAAACCAGCTCCAGCAAATTTCCTTGGTTCATCCCTTCCACTGCAACTGCACTCCATCCCACATCTCAGGCCTTTCCCAAGGGTCTCTGGAAAGCTTTGGGGTGGGGGTTACAAGAGACCACAGTGAGGGAGGCAGGCAGACATGTCCCTTTGCGTGGCCAGTCTTGTGCTCACACCGCACCAGGTACTTGTGCTAGTTTGTTCATGCACTTATGATAAGGTTGCATGTCTACTCTGTACAGCTCTCTAGCTGGAAAGTGCGTGAACTTGCCCTTAGCTGCACTGATGACAAAGTAGATGACTTCAAAGTTAGATAAA